AGGGATGAATACTATTATACCTTGGTGAGGGCTGCCATGACGGTGTATCATAGACTGGGTGGCTTAAACAACATTTATTTCTCATGGTCCTGGAAGGTAGAAGTTCAGAGTTCGGTTCTGGTGGGGGCTTTCTCTAGAATGTAGATAGCTGACTTTTTGTATTCTCACATTTGACAGAAAGAGAGTCCAAACTTTCTCTGGTCTCTGCTTCTCAGGACACTAACCCCATTCACAAGGGCCCCATCCTCATAAAATAGTTTTCCCCGGTGGCTCCACTTCCTGACACCATCACATTAGGGTTTAGAGTGTCAGTGAGGGATTTTAGGGAGACACAAGATTAAGTTTGTGGTGTCTGTTATTCATGTGACCCTTCTCTTTCTTAAGCCCTTTATATATTTTCCCTATTGTGTGTGTTTGTGTACGTATGTGTGCTTGCTTATGTGCATGCAGGTGCACGTGTGTGCACTGGTATGAAAGCATGTGTGTGCACATGCCTGTGGAGACCAGAGGATGATCTAAATTGTCATTCTTCAGGAACTTTTCATTTTTTTTGTGAGATGGGGGAGAGGTTCTTCTCATGGGCCTGAAACTCTCCAAGTTGGTTAGGCTGTCTAGAGAGCCCCAGGGTTCTTCCTACCCCTGCCTTCCAAGGCTGGGATTGCAAATGTGGTATGCTCAGGTTTTAGTGTGAGTTTAGGGATCTGAACTTCAGGTCCTCATGGCAGCAAGGTAAGCATTTTACTGACCAAGCCGTCTACCTAGCCCCATTCTTAAAAGATAAAAAAATTAATGCCTCTCATGTCCTTCCAATGAAATGCAAAGTAGTCTTCTGTATTTATCCATGTGAAAGATTCACAGACCCCGTCCTCTTCAGTTAAATGGACCATACACCTATGGTTCAGTTTTTATGTTTTACTTTGGGCCATTTGTTTTGACCACATTATACTTGATTCTGGACACTTTGAAAAGTGATATTATTGCTTCAAATTAAGAAATGTGCCCAGGTTAAGAAACTTTTCAAGCCAGGCAGTTCTCAGTAGAAAACCCTGGATTCCAGTCAGATCCGGCTGCTACTTGGCCGAGGTTCTCTTTGGACACACCTGCCCTGGTGCTGTGCAGCAGTCCATCCAGTTACATCAGCTGCACACTTGTCAGATGTGCTGGCTCAACAGACGGTGGGAACACAATTCCATGAGAAGTGTCCAGCTAGAGCTATGGCACTAACACTTCGGTCCCCCGGGTTAGTGGGTGCATGTGACTCATACAACAGGCTCTACAGGAAAGCAAGTCCCTGGGTGTCCTCCCAGTGATGACTGTCACCTAAGGCCCCAGGTGACCGAAGCCTTGGTAACTATGGGGAACTCTGGGGTGACTGACATCTCTCAGGTGGGGGAGCGGGCACTTTGGTGTAAATGGGTTGGGGACGTTACACCTCCCTTGACTGCGGCACTAGTTCAGCTTGATCTTCTCACTCCTCTGGGTAAAGGTCACAAAGACGCAGCTATGGTCAGCAACATACTTGTGTTTCTTGAGGTCCTTGGGTTATGCGTCTCAGCATAGGTCACTTACACTAAACTACAGAGACTGTGGTATCTTTACGCATATATTGCTCTGAGGTGTGTGTGTGTGTGTGTGTGTGTGTGTGTGTGTGTGCTGACTTTGGTGTCTTTCTCAGCTACTCTCCACCATATATCTTAAACTTATTTTTATTTATGTGTATGTGTGTGTCCCTTCTGTATTTGCACATGCGTACGGGTCCCCAGAGAGGCCAGAAGAGGCGTTCAGATCCCATGAAGCTGGAGTTGCGGGCTGTTATGCAGCAATTTTTCTTAGATAGCACTTTCCATCCTGGAGGGGAGCGCATTAAAATTCAGGATGCTCTAAAGAGAGGTGAAACATTTCGTTCTGCAGGGAAGCTTGTGAAACCTGGGGAAGAAAACAACTCAAAAGCTCCAGGGAGTTCCTAACACTGACCAGGTTCACTAGGCTTCTTTCTCCCCAAGCTTATCCTCTGCAGTGAGGACTGATGAGATGCTCAAACCAGCCGAGCTGCCTGGACAATCTACTCTCTGATCTGTTGGGCCGCCTGCAAGTTCTGCAGTGAGCTCCAGGGTCCCAGCTTTCCGAGCTGTCACCCCTGCTGGGGTGGGCTTTGGTGATGCAACACCTTTTTGGTTTATTCCCACTTCCGTAAGTAACTGGCTTTTCAACCCTTAGTGCTGCAAGTAACCGTAATACAACTAACTGGTTTACCAAGTTGGACTTCGGTGGTACCCTTACTTTGGTCTGTTGTTGGTTTCCTGTTGAGGGCTGAGCAAATGTTTTTGTCCAAGTCTCTTCAGGAATAGCATCACACAACACAAGAAGCTGTGAGCTATCCCGTATGGGAGCCGGGAACCAAGCTCCAGTCCTCTGCAAGAGCAGCAAGCTCCCTTCCTCACTGTACCATCTCTCTAGCCCCTCCACCTTATTATTCGAGACAGGGTCTTTAGCTGAACCTGGAGCTTGCTGGTTGGTTAGACTGGTTGACCAGCAATCCCCAGACATTCTTCTGTTTCCATCTCACCAATGGTAGAAATACTGGAAGGCCTGGCTATTTTGACATGGATTCTTTACCCATGGAGCCCTGTTGTTTTGTGGACCTCGAACTCATAAACCTGCTTTCTTAACATGCTGGCTATTATGCACAAGTGAGTTCCAGGAAAGGCGCAAAGCTATGCAGAGAAACCCTGTCTCAAAAAACAAACAAACAAACAAATTTAGTCTGTTTGAATGGTAAATAGACACAAGAAAACGGCCCAAAGGCGTCTCTAGGCACGGTTTCAGTTGCATTCGTCACCTGGACTGCACCTACCTGTTCACACTGATACACCAGAAAGGATGCCAATGATGCCGACATGGGAAAACATACAAACTCAGAGCATAGTGGATGATTCCCTTGTCCCTGCTACGTCAGTGAAGTGTGCCTTTCCTAGCTGCTTTTCTCCACAGGCTTTCAAAGGAGACAGTGGGGACTGAGATCTTTTGAGATTGCAATTGATTGAAACTGTGAGAACACTGGAGCATAAGGGCTGGAATTAATTAGCATCCTTAAAACAGCAGCACTAGGCCCTTGAATTTTTGGAACATATGAATGGTAACCGTTGATTTCTCAACCCAAAGCAGAACATCTGTTCTCTCATAGAGCGTCTAGCAAAGACTGCAATGTGGAGTCAGGTGGGGGCAGAGTTGTTAGGCAATGCGGCTCGGATCATGGCTGTCCTTGTGGATTTATTATTAGATGGCACTCAGTGTAATTGCTTTCTGGAGAATTTTTAGATGTCTGATGCACATATATCCATCGTGTGGATTTTATCGGGCATTAATCTTTTGTAATGTGATTCCAGTCAAAAATGCATGTGACGTGTGTCTGTAAGATGTAACAAACCATACACAGAATTAATTTAAAATTAAACTCAATTCATTGTTTTTGAGGAAGTCGTAGTCTTTATCATCTTCCCTGCTCAAATCTTTGAGCGAAGGAAAGAAAATGTGAAGATAAACAAAAAGAAAAAGAATGGATGCAGGTTGAGTTGTTTCTCATGCACTAAACGATGACATTGAAGGCGGCTATAAGATAATGACAAAGCCCAAACTTACTGGATTGTCAGAGTCATCAGGCATGTCTGGGGAATGGTCATCAGGCACATTCCATGTTAATCTGAGTTTGGTCTCCCCACCCATGTAAAAGCCATAAAAAGCTGGATGGGAGCAGGGCACACACCTTTAATCCCAGCACTTTGGAGGTAGAGCCAGGCAGATCTCTGTGAGTTTGAGGCCAGCCTGGTCTACAGAGCGAGATCCAGGTTAGGTACCAAAACTACACAGAGAAACCCTGTCTAAAAAAAAAAAAAAAAAACAAAACAAAAACAAACCCCCAAACAACAACAAAAACCAAAAAAAAAAAAAATACTAGATGGGGTTTGGCATGCATCTGCAATACCATTATCATTCCTGCAGTGAACTGGGAAGTGGATTCAGAACTGATTGGAAGCTCAAGAACTAGCTAGCCAAGAATATGCAGCCCAGAAATAACAAGAGAGATTGTGCCTCAGAAACAAGTGGAAAGAGAGAACCACTCCCTGAAAGCTGTCACCTCCGTGTGTGTGTGTGTTTGCACGGAGGCATGCATGTACCCACCCACTCCCCCCACATTACACACCTCCGTATATGCATGGAGGCATGCATGTACCCACCCACACATTTCCAACCCACATAACATACCTCCACATGTTCACGGAGGCATGTATGTACCCATCCACACCCACACCCCCCCGCCACAACCCATACAACACACACACACACAAAGAAAAGAGAATGAAACCCGTCAGGCAAATATGTGCATCCCATGAATAACCATGCATCAAACACCATAATTTTTATTATTCATTCATCTTCATTTTAATTTAAGGAATCCGACATTGGATACCGTCCCAGCATTCCCACATTCTTATTCTGCGAGTCTTGAGAAGTTACTTAAACTTTCTATGTAAGGACAGCTTATGTAAAATAGACATAATAATTTCTTCCTCGTGGGGTTCTTACAGAGAGGAAATTAAAATACACTATGTGTAAGGGGCTACTAAAGTACCTGGCCCAGAAGTCATTCAGAAATACTGATTAGGGCTGGTGAGAGGGCTCACTGGGTGAATGTGCTTTCTGCTAAGCTTCATGACCCGAGTTTGATCCCTGGAACCTATTATCTGGTGGAATGTCCACCAACTGCTTCAAGTTGTGGACCCCCCCCACACGCTCCATGGCATTCAGCGCCCCCCCCCATGAATGTAATTAAAAATAAAATAAAAAGGCCGCCCACCTACCTTCCCCCACATCTATCTCTGTAGCTGATATTTTCAAATTCAGACTTGATAGAGTTGGATTATTTAGCTCCTGCTTCACTAAATTAATTGGAAAGCGAAAGGCTGACTACATTAATTTTCTGTCTGCTGCTCTGCAAACAAATATGGCTTCTTGTTAGGAACTGAAGTGGGCAGAGACGGGTTCAGCTGCGAGTGGGGAGGGAGGGGAGGCCTTGGAGAGCAGTCATTGACACTCGACGAAACTGGTGAGCTTAGACTTATCCCACCATTATGTTTTCCGTCACACCTTCAGAGCACCGGTCACAGACTGCTTGAGGAGCGGACGAGGCAGAGAGGGAGTGAGCTGGGGTGGTGACCTGGGAGAAAGAGGTGTCTGTACCTGGCCTTGGTTTTCCATGGCAGGGCCACTATGTTGGTGGTCTTTAAAAACCTACAAAAACATCTTCCCAGCTAGTATTTTCAAATTTTATAAACTATGCAGTTTATTCTAAGATATAAAGGGGCTTCTTGAGTGGAAAATCATAGGCGTGAGATCAACAAACAGAATGAGATCATTACAGCCATTAGGAATTTGGCTCTTTTCAATTTATCCTTTGACGGTCTGATTTCTGGAGTTACATTAGCAGGCTTGATGGTGAGTGATTACCACTGTTCTGGGTAGATAGCCAACATCTCTGACTCCTCTAATGGGTTCCCAAATTATGCCATTTATTAATTAAATTAATTCAGCCTGATGATTTGATTGCTGCAGCCTCCTTCAGTGGCCCATCCTGTCTCTGCGACGGGGAGAGTGCACATCCGTCTCTCTCACCTGGCAACTGCCAGCCTTACTGCCCTCGGCTACGGCGTCCATATGGCCGGAATTCAGAACTCGCATGCGCCAACGCGAGAGAGGACGAAACCCAAAAGTAAGCTTTAGTGGCGCTGGATATTTTCAGACCGTACAGGTGACTTTCTGCACATTTTCTAACTATCCCTCATGCCTTTTCAAATCTCATGTTGAGAACCTCTTCACTTTCTTTTTCTTTATTGCTATTTGAACATCCCCGAAGCTCCCCTCCTGTTCTCACGTCTTTGTTTTTCTTTCTGACACACTGAGTTTAATTAGGATTGCTTGCATGAGCATGGGCTGGAGGTGATTGGCTGGAGCAGGGCAACTGTAATGGTGGTTAAACCACAGAAGAAAATAACCCCTCCTCCCCAGCAACCATTAACTACCAATAGCTCCCCGGGGAGGGCGGAGCCTCTCTTGCCCTTCTCCCGCTTATGACGGACTGTTGATGGAGCCCCATTTTGTGCAGCTAAGCACAGTCACTGCAAGAGTATGAGTGCGACAGCATGTCGCATCCGGAAGACAGCATTTCACAACTCTTCCTCATCCTTTGTCTCACACTCGTCTCCTGCCCCCTCTTCCAATTGCCTTGGAGGTGATAATATTGGCGCCCCATTTAGGAGGCAGTCTTATGGAAGAAAGCAAGCAATCCTGTAAGTTAAACTATACCCTTAGGCTGCCTTTTACAGACCGAGTTCCTTTATGTAGCCTACCCTGGCCTTGAACTCATGACCTGTCTGCGTTGGCTTCCTGGGTGCTGGGAGTGTCACCCTGAGAAGTAGCTGCAGGCCTTTATCCCTCTATCGAGGAGGGTGAAATTGACTCATGAGGAAACCGGAAGCCACGGGACTTTGGAAGAGATGTCAGAAATGAAATTAGCACCACGATTAGAGGTTGACAGTCTTCTCTCCCACTGAAAGTAGACTAAATTTATCATTATAAAACCCAGGAATGATCAAATCTGGGTTTTCTACCAAGGTTTTATTTATTTTTAGAGAGCCACAGCTTTGGTTAGGAGTATGCTGGTTAATAGTGGAGATATAACAGACAGAGTGCTCGATTTAGAAAGTGGAAAAAAAAAAAAACAACCCAAAAACTAGGTCTAAAAAAGGGAATGCAGATGTCTTCATTAGCCCGGATGCCCTGGCCATCAAAACCGATCCGTTTGATTCCTTTTCCTGTACCACTGCCACATGAGGTGTATCTTTTTCTCTAGGTTGGGAGCCTTTTCCCCCCCAATTTTTTTTGAGTCAGTGCCAGAAGGAAGACACACAGGTGTCACAGTTTTAGTTTTTTTTTCCCCCCTTCCCAGAGCCTCAAAAGGAAATTTCAGGCAGATTTTGTTAGGAAATGGTATTCATTGCTGAACTGAAAATTAGATTGCAAGTGCTTTGGGCATTCTTAGTAAATTATATAGCTAAAACCTGGAGCTACACTAAACCCTTTGAATTTAATTTGACTGCTGGCAGCCATCAATGGCTAAAAGAATTTAGAAAACCCAACCGCTAATGCTTGAATACGCTGGTAGGGGATGTTGTCAGGAAGGCAGGTGGTGAGGGGAGCCAAATAAAACAGTGGCCTTTAACAGACGATTCAGAACTAATACAACCAAAACTCGTGCACTGCATAATGCTACAAGTTGTGCTAATGTAATCAAGGCACACACAGCCTTGTGAGTCGTGACTTCCTTCTCCACCTTCTGAGTCATTACGAGTACAGTTTGCCTCTCGGCTCGGCAGTGCCCACTCGGGGAAGTCGGGGAAGTCTTGTCGCTCCTTGTATTGCAGGTCTGTGTCCTGCTAATGCTAAATTCTGCCCTAACCTGACAACTACAGATTAGTCAGTGTCTCCTGTCCCCCCTTTCCACTAATGCAATTCCAGCGAGCAGGGAGCCCAACGTTTGTCTTAAACAGTCCTAAGCATTTTTTCATACGAAATTCAATTAAACCATTTTCCAGGCTGTCTGTTCTCTTACCTTTCAGCAGGAATGAAGTTTCTCCTTCCTATGAAAATACTTAAAAGCAAGCAATTGGAGGGAGCTGGGGAGGGATGGGGCGGGCAGGGCTGTGGGGGGGGGTGGTGGTGAACATGCTGTTTGGCACAGTCAGCTAATTGTCTCAGCCTTTGTTTTTCTCTTCCCCTTGAAGATGAGCTGTGTTTTAATTGCCGCATGAAAGATTTGTCTTGATTAGAAGGCTAGGAGGTGCCAGTGCTTGGGAAAGAGATGAAAATGCGGAGAAGAGGAAAGAGGCAGGAGTGATAGACATGTCCCCGAAACTTCCCTGGGGTCTGCCACCACACACCCATTTCTGCTCAGGCTCCCCTTCAGGTACAAAGCGAGTTTGACTTTGTTGGGTTACACAGTGGTCTGAGATAGAAGCCTTTTAGCCCGGGATGAAGAATGTATGGGCAGATGTGTTCAGAACTGTGGCTTGAAAAAAAAAATTAGGCGAAATCTATGTGTCTGGATGCCATGAGGACGAAGGACCACACAGGGCGGCCTGGGCTATCTGCTTCACTTCCCCCGACTGAAACGCCGCCTCATTTGCTAGAGAGTCTAGAGGCCGGGCAGGTGGTATGGGTATAGAGACAAATAGGACTAAAACACCCTGTGTTCTCTCATCGTTGGTGGAGATGAAAAATAAATAGTACCTGATGTTGTGCTAAAGGCTGGCAGACTACACCAAGGTGCCCTTGGGTAGCTCTGGGGATGGGAGTCCAAGGTCACCCACCAGCTGGGGCAGGGACTTGAGAAGGCCTCAAGGGGCAGGTCATCTTGGTGTAGTCTTGAGGGTGAGTGATGGAGGAAGGGCCAGGCTGTGTAACTGGGACAGGGACCGGGAACTGTCACCAAGGTGTATTAGTGAGACATTCACGGGTAACTTTAATGAGATCAGCGAAAGATGGGGGCAGGAACCAGGTTTCCCGCTCTTGGAGGGAGAGGGCAGCAAAGGAAAGACTTTGGACTTTTCTTTAGAGAAGTTTACTCGTGGGATGGGAAGGAATCCCAATTAGAGGGTGTCATTCTAGGCTTGAGGTAAGGTGAAAAGTTGCTATCTAGACATCTCAGGTCCCCAAGTATTACTAGTAAAGAAAAATCAAGCTGGGAATGGTGGCCCTTGTCTACACCCCGAGCTTTTGGGATTCTAAGTCAGGACACTCACTGCAAGTTATGGGTCTGGGAGTTAGGGGCTAGCCTGAACTATATAGTGAGTTCCAGGCCAACCTGGGCTCCAGTAAGACCCTGTCCCCCAAACCAAACCAAACCAAACCAAACCAAACCAAACCAAACCAAACCAAACCAAACCAAACCAAAACAAAACAAAACAAAACAAAACAAAACAAACCCAAACAACAACATTTGTTTGTTATCGCTGATGCAATACATAAATGAAATTAAAGGGTCATTTCTGGGCTCCTACTGTAGAGACTATATAAAAGTATTTCCCTTTATTCTGGACATTTTCTGAATTTTTAAAAAGAGCAAGATAAAAGGCCCAGTTTGGTCTAATATGTTGGTTTAAAATAACCATGTAGAGACCTGTGACCCTTTAATCTAAATTAACAGCTGAATCTGCAATTCTGTTTTCCTTACAAAACATGTTTCAATCACTAATCCTTTAAAACAAGCGATGTTTCAATTTCCTGTAAAGGTTAGTGTGAGACTCAGGAAGTGCCATACTTCAGCTGATTTGTTTTCTTTCTACTAAACTGGGTCACATTTTCAGAGCCCTCACTGAAAGGACCTTCCAGATGCTGTCCGCCTTAGGAGCACCCATAGCCATGCGCCCTTGTCATGTGATGGGCCCAGGGATAACCGGAAGTCAGTATTTGGAACAAGGTAGAAGAGGTGGCTATGGATAGGGATGTGGATGTATGCTACAACCAGCCTTCAGCTAGACCCTGAGTTCAAACTGGCTCTGAGATGATATGTACACACGCCCCCTTTGGAGGGAAAGCTTGTAATGTCTGAGACTATTCCAACAAGTTGAAATGAGGTAACAGTGTAAGGAAAGTGTTAAAAATAAAAGCTGAGAAAAAGAACTTTGCCAATTCAGGAAAGCTTTGAGTCATGAATTAGCATCATATTTTTTAATTGCAGAAGGCACAGAATTCTCTATCATCACCACAGGATATGTTTCCTTTAAAATTAGCAATTATTGAAAGCCTGAAGTGTATGGGGCCTATATACAGTCCTTCCTTCATATTTAGGCGGATGATTTTCTATGTATTTATTTATTCTCTAATTCTGCTTCTTGGAAGCTTTATTTATTTATTTATTTTGGAAACTAGTAGGGACATTTTGGAGCCCTGATAGACCAGTCAGTGTTGAAACTTAATTTTATGAGATGTGGAAAGCCTTTAATAAGGCTGTCTGAGCTGCTTCTAGGTTAGAGGCATATATTTGTCTTTAAAAAAAAAAAAGTAAACCTGGAGAGAAATTACTGGAAAAATTGTAAATAAATATCAGAAATCTCTGAGCAATATTGTGGTGTATTGGCTTTTCTTCCTTCTACCTAATGTGACACCAAGGGCGTAAATATCAGGCTTGATGGCAATGGCCACACACACAGAAGAGAGCGTGTTTCCTTCACACTAGAGGAGAAAACACCCTATTAGTAAAGCAAAGAGGCCGGGCAATGGGAAACAAAGCCTTAGCCCAACAAACCTATATTGGCAACTTCTTTTCCTTCTGTGTAGCTCTACCTCCTCCTCTTCCTCCCCCTCCTCCTCCTCCCTCTCCTCTTCCTCCCCTCCTCTTCGTGCCCTCCTCCTCCCCTTCTCTTCCTCCCCCTCTTCTTCTTCCTCCTCCTCTTTTGTGTGTGTGTTCTATGTGTGTGCACAAATGTGTACACAGAGGCCAAAGGTGGACATTGGATGTCTTCCCTAATCTCCTTTGGAGACAGTCTCTCTCTTACTGACCCTGGAGCTCCCTGACTCAGCTAGACCCGCTGGCCAGGGAGGACCTGAGCCTCCTCTTTGTGTCTGCAGAGCGTGCACCACCCTGTCTGGCTTTGAGGTGGGGGATGGGAATCACACTCATGTGTCCAGCACTTTTTAATCCACCAGGCAATGTCCCCAGCCTGGAAACAGTAAAGTGACTGAGGACGGCTGCTCAGATTTGGCTTTTAATTTCGTGACAATAACTTATAATAATCAAAATAAAGAGAGTGCTATACTGCTGGAAACCAGCAATGATTAAGTCACCCGCTGTTCGGAACACCTCCTAATTTCTTCCTTTTGGATGAAAGTGGGATGTTTTCCTGGGAGAGAAACATTTGTTGTATATGAACTAGGTAAAGAAAGCCTTAGTATCACTTTGCAAAGAAGAGCAAAAACTTCTCGTTGGAAAGCCTAGAAGAGGCCACGAACCTTCTAGTGCACTAGAAGCTGTTCCCAGCCATGCCATGCGGCTGATGTTAGATTCTGCTCGGGGAGCTTCCTTGCCTTGTTACTGGCCGTTAGTCAATAAAACACCTAAGACTTTTAGTACAAGTCATCTTTTTCATGTGTTGTGGGAGAAAAAAAGCTACTTAACCCACCAATTTAGATGCACAGCTATCTTATGGAGGAGTGACTTGAAAGAGTCTTAGAAAGTGACTGTGGACACGCCTGTCAGTCAATTTATGACACTCCTCACAGAAAAGGCGGTTTTAGGGAAACAGTATTCTCATAAGGTCTGCAAGGTCTGGCTTAGCTTTCTTAATTTCAGTTTTAAGATGATAAACGTGGACATAGCAGGTATCAGAGACATCTGTTAAATCACGCCACGGGCACCGCCAGGGTCTACTCGTGTGTGAGTCCGTGGGAGGGTGGTCTAGAACCTCTCTCTGTGGCTTGCACACAGACTCAGGAAAGGTCACAGGAGGACAGGCATTTCCAAAACTTCAGAATCATAGGACACTGAATTTTAGACTCATTGCATATTTTCAAACTAGATCAATCTAGTATACAGAATTGCAATGACTTTAAATTATACATAGCTAGACATTTTTTATTTGATTATTTTGGGGGATAATATGACAGAAAATACGTCTGCTCTCTGTGTGTAGTGGGGGATGTTACTGTGGCACATGAGTAAAATGAGCTCTCCGGAGGATGTTACACAGCAGATGGGAACTTTGTGTGTGTGTCTGCGAATGTGTGTGTGCACATATGTGTGCACAGTTGTATGAAGGTCAGAGGCCAACATCAGGTGTGCTCCTCAATTGCTCTTGCCTTTATTTCTTTGAGGCAGGTCTCTCACTCAATATGAAGCTAACTGACTGAGCTAGACTGTCTGTGTAACCAGCTCAGGGATCCCTCATGTCTCTGCCTCCCTGGGATCAGAGATTAGAGGTGTGCCCTTTGACACCTGGCTTTTTATGTGGGTGCTGGGGGTTGAACTCATGACCTCATACTTTCACGGTTGGCACTTTACCCAGTGGGCCATCTTCCTAGCCCAGTGAATAGTGGTTTTTGTTGTTGTTGTTATTGTTTTGTTTGGTTTTTGCAGTGAATGTTTAATATCTCTCCTGGGAGACAGTTGCATATCTGTGTTCCAATTCCACCAAATCTTGATTAATCAGAAACCAATTCTCCTGACTAGGAATTACCGAGGGCTGCCTCTGTGGCTGGTCATGTCTCTTCTTAGCATAATCTTCAAGCATATGGAAGGGAGTTGTGAGATTAAGCTCAGATCAGCTTTGTTCCTTGCTAACGATGCTGGCAAGCAGCTGACACGTCTGGCTAGCATGAAGTTTGGGTATTCTCTATGGACTTTTATTTCTTGTACTGTCTTTCTCTCTACAGATAATCAACAGCTCACTGCATACTACGCAGCAGACGCAACCTGCACATTCTTCTGAATGAGTAATCAGAGGTAATGCAAACTAACACCTTTACCTCAGGAAAAAGCTACAGCTACAGAAGCCACCAGTCTAGTAGGCAGAGGAAATAATCTTAGTCAGCGTTTTAGTGTGGAAGGGTTCAGAGGAAAAGCCAAGCATCTCCCTCCTCTTTCTCACTAGAAAATGCAATTCTAATTAGCTTTGATATCAGCCAAAAGGGACAGTTTTTGAGTTGAGGTAAACCTAAATTTCAACACAATAAAAATTTATAAATATGTAGAAACAACTCATGCTCATTTTTTTAATCCCCACAGCTATGCTGATAATTAATATTGGAGGCTATTTCATTGTTAGAAATTTAAAAGTAGTAGTTATAAAACATTTTATTTTATTTCAGACCATACATCTTTGCAGAGATTTTAGAAATGACACTAGAATATTAATAAGGAAGTAAAGAACTTGATTTTCTTTATTTTCCTTACTTGTATATTTATTATAGAGTTGCCATATGGAATCAATTTTTCATATGCTTTTGTAATATTTCTTTGTAGTTAACATACCATGCCATTAAACTCTTTTCTATTATACTAGTTTGAAATGATAAACAACTTTTCATACCAATTTAATAGGATTTATTTATTTATTCAGTCCACCAATATCGGATATTTGGTTGTTTCTACTTTTTTAGTATTGTAAAGAAAGGTAGGTTGCACATCTTTCTAGGTGCATCTTTATATATATATGGGAGCCCTTTCCATATCATAGTTGCCCTTTGAGAAAAAAAAATTGACATTCAATAGCAGGAAGCTGTAAGGTCTAGAAAAATCTTTATTTAAAAGAAATATGTTAAACACAAACTATATCCTGGACACATAAAAGCATTTGGTTTAATCAATAGCATTAATAGATAATAACAGAAAGTTCATCTCCGATTCAGATACCAGATGGAGAGCTGTGTTTAGAGATGGTCTACTCTGAGTTTTCTAGCCTCCAGTTCCCTCTGCCTCTGAAGCACACATTCCGACCACTGCCTTGACCACAGGCTACAAAGCTGCTATTTTAGTCGTCAGGTCTCTCTCTACTCACCCACCACTATTCTTCCTTGTCACAAAGTGAGAAAGAAATGTATGCTCTTTTCACTTCCCACAACTCCCAGAAGGGTTTGCCTTCAATGTTTGTTTTATGTTTCAGGTTGAAAGTGTGTTGGAGAATTATGTGGTAGAGCAGGAACATCCCTCTTCTGTACCACACACTATATGTACAAAACACACAGGTGGCTTACCGACTTAATTAGTTAAGATAGATAATTCTAGCGTTCACCCCTCGCCTTTGTTTCTTCCAAATTTAATAACATGATTTAAAAATCACTTGGAAACCAAAGTTAAGACATGATTTTCCCCATGATTGTACTGCTATAGTGACTAATGTCACGGATTTTCTATTCTGATTTTAAGGACAGCTTTCTCCTCATCTCCATTGCATTGAATGCAATGTGTCCTTCAGACCATAAATTCCGGTTTTTGTTTCAGAAAATGTAGCGGCCTGTCTTGGTTTTTCTTTTCCTGTTGCCATGATAAAAGGTTCTAATAGAAGGAACGTAAGGGAGAAAGGGCCAGTTTGGGCTTACAGTTCCAGAGAGATGGCTTACGTTCTCTACCATGGCAGGAAGGCCTGGTAGCTAGACCAAGAGGCATCTATTGAGAAAACCAAGAGTGACCAGGAAACTGGTCCTGGCTGTAAAATCTCAAGGCTCCCAGTGACTTCTACCAAAGCTCTGTCTCTCAAAGGACCCACAATTTTCGTAAAGAGTCCTCTCAGCTGGGGGCCAAGTGTTCAAACAGATTAGCCTATGGGGGGCATTTTATATTTAAACCACACTGCCACCTTATCTCGGGTTACGTTTTACTCAACATCCTTGCTCACAACCTTTCTGCTCTCACACATAGACAGCACTGAAGAGTCAGCATTTCTGGAGAAGATTGGCTTAAGTGAGCACTTAAAACGATAGTACCTGGACTCACAGGGAGGAGTGGGTATTTTAAATATGAACTTACTCTTGGGTCTGAGGTTATGTGTTTCTCAGCTTTGATAGTACGTGATAAACTCAGGTAAGCAATATGAAGAGAAGATACCACACACGTGCTCTAAATGGGAGTCATCATCAATAACAGGGACCTGGCTTTCTCCTTGTGCCCATTGGCCTCTGGACTCTGTGGGAAGTCATGTGTGAAGGATGCTCTCCAGCCCACAGCTGCCCATGGGAATCATCGTAAAGCCGTCTGCCAGAAGGAATGTGTGAGCAAATGACAAACGGTACCTGACTCCAGGGGAAAATAGACTTTGGGAAGCTTTTAATGCCAAGCTTTATAATGTTTAGGATGAAATACTGCATCAGATTTCTCATGAGGATGGAAACGACCTCAGATCAGTTTAACAAAGCATTTTCCAGTAGAAGAGAACATGCTTGAATAGAGACAGAAAATAACCTAGTACTCAAAGCTGAGAGGGGGCTTCCTTTCTCCCCTTTCTACCTGTGTCTCCCCACTCTTTCATCCTGACCTCTGCTCTACAACTGCCAGCCACACTCAATGAAAAAATAAAAAACACAAACCTCTATGGATTTTTTTTTCTGAGTTAGCCCAGACAGAAAATATTCTGCCCCATTTAACTCAGAAAAGTACCTTTATGATTGTTGGGCCATGCATCCCATTTCTCTTTTTCGTTTTGATTCAGAAAACATGGGCACCATATCACATCGAATCAGTCTTCAAGTCTTGCCTCTCTGTTTGGTAACCTCCATGTGGGCCTTACCACTTTGTTCTGTGTCTGTCTCCTACTCCAGAATATTTTCTGCCTGGAAATAACGCTGCTGCTACCCATCTCCATCTACAATCAGATTGATGGAGTAGAAGGGTGAGAGAGATACACACATGTTCTAGGTGAAATCCATGACTTGGAATATAATACAGGGATGGATAAAGCCATACATGATAGTCTAAGAAGTATCCTCCTTAAGAATCATTGATTGCTTCTGGCCAGAGAATGGTCCTTTGATGGCTAGAGACCTCTACTACTGTTTTAATTGTGTAGTTTGCTTTCATCTGGGACTGGGATTCTAAGGATTTTCTCACCTGAGTGGCTCTTTGATGTCTGTCTGTAAAGACTTTCCATGGGTTTCTGTATTTTAACACAAAAGCCTGTACAAAATAAAGCTGGGTTAGCCATATGTAACGTCTGAATCTCACTTGCATTGTTGATGATCAGTGATTCTTTAATTCATCTACCTTTTCTTCTTCCTGATTGTCTAGCTCAGAATTGAGTCCTTGTCATGTGTTTTGCTTTTCTCCCATGTCTTATGAATCAATATGATAAAAAGAACAGAGTAATAATAGATATTGTTGATCAGCTTCATCTATACCAAGGGTACATTAGGTAGTCATTCATTATTCCATCCTGTTCTCTCTTTTAAAAAATGGGTTACCTTGGGACACGAACTGAAATGATGTTATTTTCTCTGTTTGGGATTTTCTGTTGACATGTGGAGAAGAACCTCTTTGATGTGTGCGCTGAAAACAATGTGGCTAAAAAATAAAGAAAAAAACCCTCTCTTCAACGTTAAGCTTCTTTTGGGTGTTCCAGAACCATCTTCCCCAGGTGTTTGTGTGGCTGAGAGGGTGACGACCAGATTAGCTTTTCTTGGCTGCAATCAGCTTCTATATGATCAAAATGTTTTTTGAAAATAGCTCAATTTGAAGAAAACATGACTTCAGGGCCACTGATTTTAATGCCTCAGTACAAGAGCATGCTTTTAGAAAACAATCATTTTTTGAGGAGTTTATGTTTTCCATGGTGAAAGTAATACATGAGCACTACAAATAATTTAGAAATATGAAATATAAGGACTGAAAAATTTTGCTAATGTTAAAGCCACCTGAAGGTAAATAATGAAGGTCAGGCTATTGTCAGTATTAGATACTTATTAAGTATCTTTAAAAGATCTGTCTGTCTGTCTGTCTGTCTATCCATCTATCATCCATCCATTCATCTATCATCTATCTATCTATCTATCTATCTATCTATCTATCTATCTATCTATCTATCTATCATCTATCCAATATATCCACATGTCATCTATTTATCATTTACATCTATTATCTATCAAGTATCTCTGTATTTATCATCTATTTATTTATAGATCTCTCAATCGTTTATTTAATCCATAATCTAGTATCCATATTTCTATATCTATCTATCTATCTATCTATCTATCTATCTATCTATCTATCTATCTATCTATCTATCTATTTACCTACCTGTCTTCATTATCATCATCTATATATCTATTACCATCTATCATCAATCTATCTATAAACCTATCATCTATATATACACTATTTATATATGTGTATGGGTACAGTAATGCTTTTAATATGATTCTTGTATTTGTTATTTTAAGCAATTTTTAAATGGCTTCATGATAACACATTGTATCACTACTGTGTTAACTTCTGCAATACAACTTACTTATTAGGTATTTAGATGATACTTGATTTTTCATTATTTTACTTAATGCTAGAATACACATCTTTGAGCTCTTGAAAAAATTAGTATCAATTTTTAGGACAGATTATGCAAAGTGAATAGATTTAAAGCTTATAATTGGGTTAATTGTAAAAACGTCTGCAATACTTGAGTGCCTTTTTCTTATCATCCACATCAGTGCAGAATCTTTTTTATTCAAAACATAGTAATTTTATGGGTAAAACTGTGTTTAATTAAAACATTTATTTTCTAGTGAGGCTGGAAATTTTAGTTGCTCATTCCTACTCTTTTCCTGAATGTCCTCTTTTGTGAGTTTTTTGTATATTTCTGGCTATTTATGTATTACAATCTTAGTGTTTGACATTTTTATAGAATCAATTTGATAAACTCTTCATATGTTGAATGTTAATTCTTATGATATATTTTAATTTTCACTTTTTGTTTCTCATTTACATTTTTGAGTTTCAAACTTTTATATGGAAAAACCATAATTTAACTTCAATGATAATTAAAAAAAAGTCTAGATTGAGCTTGCACTTGTATTTTCCTGCCTACATCCTGCCCTCTTTCCTCTTCTGGGTAGCTGAGGACTCTCTAAAAGAATTTTTTTTTATGTTAGCATTTTAAAATGATAATTGACATTTTTGGGTCTTTTTTTGTTAAGATAGGGTCTGTTGTAGAATATTTGTTGAACTATGCAAAGATGTTTTAC